ATCCAAAACAAGCCCAGGCAGCCTGAGTATTTTCAACTCAGTGTAGGCTGCTAAACAATCCCTTTGGCGTTCAGCATGCTTTATTTTATTAAGTATGCAAAAGGGACTTTGAGAGTCGTTATCTTCAGGAGATAAATTTACAGCTGCTTTGCTTCCTATATTATGTTTACATTTTGAACCTGTGTGCCTGAATATTACCTGTTGGTAAATCTGACTTTGTAATTATTGATTATGAGGCTTATGTTTGTTCGTGAGGCAAGGGAGAGGGCGAGAGGGAGGGGTGGTCACGGGACAGCCACCTTCTCCAAGACCTTCAGAGGGGACTCACGCAGAAGCAAATGGCCCAAACCACCCACTGGAGCACAGTACTGTACCTGCACTGACATCCTCTGAGCTTGTTTACTGAGGCCAGCTTTGGATGTGACCTTTGAGTTTCATTGCAGCAAATGCCTTGATGTGTAGATAGAAACATTAAGTGTGTTGTACTAGCTGGGTGAAATAGGGACCCAGCTGTGGATTGACCAGCTGAATATGTCCAGGTGCTGAAGTTGGGCATGAGAGGGGCTGGGGAGAGTTTAGACACTGGCTCGTTGCATTGCCCATGTGTTTGACTCAGAGCACAGCTCCAAAGCAGCTCTTAATAGGTGTTCAAAAGTGTCCCTTCCCTAGGTGCCCCATGCGTCCAGATCCACTGCCCTAATCAAAGGTCACAGTTTGTTATGCTTGTAGTTACTACCAGAGCCAAACTAGACAATATTACCTTTTTAAACAAAACAATAAAGCAATAAAAGAACAATAAAACCAACACTCCAGATGTCTTTCCTATGTTAGATAACATAAAACTAAAGAACAGCCACATACATACACATTTTTGTATTTATTGTTTTAGTGTATGCTACAACTTCAAAATGTGATTGTCCATATCAGAATAATCCGAACTCTGTGAATCACAATCATTCGTATATTTCATTTTCTTAGGCCTGTACATTTTCCCTGAACAGCAGGAAAAAAAAAATAAAAAAAAAGCTTTTAGTTTGCTTTAGTTTCTCCTTTAATTTTCAGCAGCAACACCAACATGTGCATTCCCCTCCCTATGTGCGTTTCGCTTGACATGTTTCATGTTACAGAGACTGAGAGACTTTGAGAGGTGTTATCTTTGATAGAGGAATTTATGGCCATTTTCCTATCTACCGTATGTTTACATTTTGAATCTGTGTTGAACATTTGTTATACTCACTTGTTGTGTCTTGTCTTAATTTAGATCATAAACATTTTGAAGCAGAGACCACGTCTCGCTGTATATTGCTTGTTTATTTAGGCCCTACTGTTATGGATGTGGAAGTGACTGAGAGTGATTGTAATAATAAAAATAATACTACTAGAAATAATTTTGCCCTGATAAAGAAACGTGCAACTCCTGTTATCAGAACATATAGGAGGATAAGGTGTTTAGAAAAGATTGTAAAATAGTAATCATCTTTGCAAATGTTTTGAACCTTACTGGAAAGAAAAGGGAAGGAAGAAGATTTATATTTTGATTTACAAAAGACCCTGTCAAAACCATTCCCATTCTTTCCCTAGAACTAGTTGCCAATATCCAAATATTACGCATAGACTTGCAAGTGCGTCTAACAAAGGTTTTGAACAATTACCCCTAATTGCCCTCTTTTAATATTCTGGTGAACAGAAAAATCTTCATTATAAGAACACACGGCTTGTAAATGAAAGGGATGAAAGCTCATGAAAGGACAGAGGCAGACCATACGTCATCCCACACCTAGGCACAACGGGATGCATTAAGGAAGCATTTATGGAGAGGCATTCCATCAAGTCAAGGTGTCAGAGGACATATGGTCTCTTTCACCATTAACTCGGTGAATTTCCATACCTTTCCACCGGTCTGTATTAATCTCACTTTGTGACGGTCAGCCTTGTTTGATATCATTCAGGCTGTGCTCTGAAAATGCCCAACATGCACATACAAAATTCACAAAAGTAAATAATTAAAAATCATCCATTTGAGCTTGCTTTGTGTGAAAGAGAAATTAAATAATAATAATAAAAAAAAATTGTTCATGGAGAAACATTTTCAGTAATCCGGACAGAAACATGGGCATGAATATTTAGGCTTATCAGGACTGATACCTGCTTGACCCTCCTTCTTGACTAGAAAAAATTGTTAGTATATGTCTTTGGTACCAATTTGTTTGGCATGTGTAGGTGTACCCATCCATCTTAGTCATTACTTGTGATCCCAGAGAAATCATTGGGATGCTGGTAATAGCTAATAACATGCATGTGTAGAGGTGCCTATGACAAATATTAGTGTAGGAAATGATAGAGCCAGGTTACACGTGAGGGGGTAAAGGTGACAAAATTAAGTCTTGCTTTTAACTCTTCTAACATGGGTACACTTTCATCTTTGTTTCCCTCAGTTATCTTTGGGGACCTATGGGAGAGGATAAAGCAAGAGGGAGCCTGCCTCCTGTTGCGAGGTTTTTCTGTACTCTACCATGGACAACAGTAGCAAATGTCTAAATTTATGTAGAGAAGTCTGTGCTAATGCTGAGCTCAAAGCTACATCTCCCTCTCTGTGCATCTGTTGTTATCTCAGAAGGTATCATGCAGATACCTTCATCATCAAAAAAATGCTGAAAAATAGCTTAGACACATATGATCAAACTAACTAGAAGTTATTATTATTATTTTAAGATGGGCTCTGTTTTTATTTTTGGCATTTCTTTAGCTAAGCAATGATTATAGATCAAAAGCTCTGCAACTTCTGTCAGGGAAAACTTGTATGTAATGACATTTTGTTTTTCTTACAAATAATTGAAATAATGCTAAAAAATCCAAGAAGCCCTAATGCTGGGGGGAAAGGGAAGGAATTTGTGAAAGTGCTGGGTGGGAATAAGAAAGCTTTTAAGACAATCATTATAATAATACCATCATAATAATGCCTTTATCTTGAAAGAAAAAAAAAATAGAAAAAAGAAAATTATCAGACAAGCAACCACCACCGAACCTGGGATTAAAACAATCTCTCTGAATTTTCAATTGTCATGAAGCACGGGTGTTTGCTGGGGAAAAAAAAAAAAAATATATATATATATATATATATATATATGTCTTGTTTTTATCATGGCAACTCTTTTCATAGTACCTTTCTCCTGTCCTGACTGGGTTTCACCCAGTTTCTCTGAAAATCTCATTTCTCATTCATACAGAGAGCTTTACATATTTTGATTGATCAAAATATTGCTGTGTTTAGTAGTTTAAATTTAAGAGTCTTTTCATGAATGTTTAGAAGCATTGGTATAGCAGAAAGGGAAGAATCTCTGTATACTTATATTCCATTATGTTTTCCCAGCAGAGAAAATGCTTGCATGTCATACTGCTGTATACTTTCCAGCCCTCCAGTGTGGTCTGTGTATGTACATACATGTGTGTTTAATATATGTAAAATCCCTAAAATATTTGCACAGAGAATATTGTTATTCCCTGTGTATTTTATTTGATGTTTACCATGAAGAAAAAACCCAGTGGACTGAAATTTGGAATGAAAAGTCAAATGATTTCAGACCCTTTGCTTAGCCTAGATGCTAATGACACACTGGCCAGTGTTTTAGGATATATGCGTTCAGAAGATCAAGCTATTAGAGAAAAAATCTCCAGCCTGAAAAACAGGCTTATCACTGAATCAGGAATTGCTAGTAATGTCTCCTCTGGGATGCTCATTTTTAAATTGCCGTTTGGGAGGCTTTTATGACTGCATCCACATCAGTGCTGTGATTCAGAGCCGTGATGCAGTTTTGAGGCAAATCCCTCAGACTGTCCCATTTACTCTGCAGTTCATAGAGTGGTTTTGTAGCACACAACCTAGTGTCTGTTTGGAGAAAACTTAACTGGAAGCTTTGATCCAGGCGAGTGCCAAATGTACTTCAACTCCTACTGCGGAAATAAGAGGCTAAACCAATGGCTAGACCTCCAGATGGCTTGGAATCAAATGCTGGGACATTTCAGTTCTGAGATCTGGGCTAAATCAAGTTTAAAACAATCCTGTCCCTCCACCTCTTCTGTAGAGCAGATAAAGAAGCCTCAGCAGCAACTGCTACAACCTATTGATCTATCCCTGTGGCTGCAACTGCCTTGAGAAAGTAGATGTAGCCTATGACATCTTGAAAGTATTCCAGGTTTTACAAATGTTTTCTGTGCTATGTTAGTTGTTTTTCACTTCTCTGTTGCTTGGATATGGTGCAAATATTCTTAAATGAATTTGAAATGATCTGAGTTTGTGCCCATTTTTTTTCTTGCAAAATCTAAGATCAGTGTAGGTTTGTCTTCCAAAAGATCATACTGAACTGTGAAGCCATTTGGGTGGTTTGGGAAGGCTTTTTTTTTTTTTTTTTTTTTTTAATCTACATTGAAACTGCTATTTATGGAGTTATTTAAGAAGAGGATATACATTCCTGCTCTCCAAAAGGGCGAAAGGAAATTGCAAGAGCTGTAAGAAGTCTTTCGCAACACTTTCATCCTCAGATTTTCATAGCTGCCTAATGCTGCCTCACAACCGAAAATAGTCAACTTCCAAGTCAACATTATGCCAGTGGGCACCAAAGCTTATGATCAAGTTTGAGCGACTTGTAATATTTCTAGCTTTTGGTAGAACATGGTTGCTTTACAGGTTGCTTAAATTGTGATTTTTAATTTAGATATTCATCTCTTTTGTATGTTTTTCCTTATGTGCTCGGCCTCATTAACCCATCTGGTTGACCTGCATCATTCTCGTGTTGACAAAGATAGGCGTTATGAACCTTAAAATGTCATAAACACCTCTAAAATGTGACCCTACTTGCATGCAGTGGGGAAGGTTTGACAGCATTACACCAGTCATCTGATAAGCTCAGGTCAAAAGTCTCCCAATTGCTTGCCTTTTGTTTGGGTGTCAAAGAGGCAAAAGCTTTTCATGTTTTTAATAAGCAAATTAACAAAATACTTACAGTACGTTGCATATATTAACTCTTAGGTAGCTGGTTTTCTTCTGGGGCCATCTTTCCAAAGGTCGGAGGCCATAAATGCAGTTTCAGTTTTCCAGGAAACAAAGAGGACAGTATATTTCAGTAATCCTTTCCTGCATGTAGTTAAGATTCCCTTTTTTTTCACTTTGGCTTACTTTCTAGAGGCGTAGTAACACTTGCCAGCTAAGCCAGATGTAGCATTTCAACCAAAAAAATGCACCGGATGCACGTTCCAAGTTTGCCAATGGCTATGCATGAGGCTGGAATGTCAGAGCAGGAGCGGCGGATTAGGAAGATTGTGTTCATGTTACTCAAAGCAGAAGGAGCCCAGAAAACGTCTCTGGAATTTCACTGTTTCAGCCACTTTTTCTTCATAGATATAACACGTTTGTCTGGTAACATTTTCATGCTCCTTTCTATCACTCATTATAGTGTTGCTTGGATTTTCAAAGTGATGTGCAGATATTAACCAATTAGTCCTCATACATATGCTCTGCAGTAGTTTAGAAAGTCTGATTTTTCTTTCTCTTATAAAGACACTTTTGCTTACCTGAGGAGACACTAAGTAATGGAAAGCTAGCTTTATATCTCCTGCTTTCTCTCTTGTTTTCCGTACAAATCTACAGTGTCTTAATTTTTTTCAAGCAAATGCTAGATGAATGTAAATTCAGTATTAGGAATATAGTGTCAGCTGGGACTGATCATCTATCCACCTATTACTTTCCTTTGGGGTAAGATGACCTGATATTACTTTGTGATGGAAGAAGTTAAGCTCCATCTCATTTGCCACAACTGGGTGGCAGCTCTTCAGGCTTGCCTTTTCTACTAATTTAAACTGTTATGTGGTGTCTGCTATCTAACACATCCCATTTTTCATCCTTAACCTCAAAAGCACGCTGCACAAATGGGTGAGCACCTTCAGGCTCCCTTGCAGGTAGGGAAATGAAGGGCAAGAGGTAACTGAAAAGCCAGGGGAAGATGCCTCCTGCTGGGAGCTTTAACAGGGACTTTCACTGACTTGCAGACTATGTAACACCTGAACTTCTTTCTCCTAATGCAGTTCACAGTCTTCATTTTAGCAGAACATCTGTAGTTGGTACATTTGCTAAATGTGTATTTCAGTCATGTTATGTTTAGGTGGATGACCAAACCCTTGTCATTTTAAGTGTTTTTGCCTGTCTGGAAATGCTTCTTAGATAGCCTCTGATGCTTTAATTTGAGAATTACAACATCACATGCTATAAATATACTCCAAGATGTGTTTTACTGAAATTCACTGGATGCTGTGAATTTCTATGAGGCAGGTTGCTGGAAGTAATCAAAGCTACTGAAACAAATTGACTTCTTAGACCTGTGGTCAGGGTAGAAAATCACCTCTTCTATTAAGCAGACTACTGATAAGAAGAAAAGAGCTAAGTCAATAGAATATTGAAGGGGAAGGGAAGGATACTCATTCTTTCATGCAACTAAAAGTCTGCAAGTATCTTTAAGCACTACTCATCATTTCATTTCATACAAGACTCACTCTTGAAATCCAATCCAGCAGCAACAGACTGTTTCTCTTGCAGACTTTAACTAGTCCGTACACATACAACCAAAGAAGCCCCACAAAATGAAATATGGATGTAAAACATGGGCTAAAATAAGCTGTTCCTGCAATGGGCCGTGCAATCTAGGCTAGTCTGAAACCTGCATTTTGGGAAATTAACTACAGCCTGGGTCAGGCTAAAATGTTTTATTTTCTAAGGTTCCATCTACAGCACCATGCACAAATGTTTTGTAATTTCCTAATGAACAGATATCTAAGTTACATAAAAGACATAAGAAATACAACCATGAGATGATTTTATCCCCTTTGCACTGGTTGGACTGCTTTCATTCCAAAATGAAATAAAAAAATGCAGGGAAAACTGCCTTATTAACAAAAGCTATTAAAGTAATCTAAACATCACATTAAGCTTTGCTTGCGCAGCAGTAGACACAATAAGAAACACATATTACAGTCATTTAGATGCAAGATAATTTACTATTTTTAAGATCTTATAGCATCCTTGCTCCAAATTCTTTTCTTTTACTCTGCTGTTTCTGAGAATTTTGTTCCTTCCCCAGCTTTGTTTGCTGAAAAGCATAACCATTTTTTTTAGCTGGAAAACCTCTCTCGGAGAACATGTCAATGCTTTGATATCAAACTGGGCGGTCACGTCTGTGGAGACTTTACAAGGGTTTAGCCTAAGCCTGGTTTGTTCAATATTCACTAACCTCTAGGACTATGCTATAGAGCATGCCCTTATCAAGTTTGCAGACGGCACCGACCTGCCAGGGCGCAAGCACTTTTGGAGCAGGATTAGAATTCAAAATGACTCTGTTAAATGGAAGAAGTGACCTGCTGTTCAATAAAGACAAGTGGAAAGCACTGCAATAAAAAGGGAAAAATCAAAGTTAGTACCAGTCTTCTGTAGGAAACACTCAATGGGTTAACTCTGGGACACATGCTGAATGCAAGTCAACGCTATGATGCTGTGCATCCTGAGGTGCAAAGGGAGCGTGGCATGTATTTTCTCTCCTCTGGTGAGATTTTGGCTGCTGCTTGGAGCCCAGCACTTTAAGACGCAGACAAATCAGAGAGAGTCCAGAGGACTGCAACCGAAATGATGAGAGGTTTAGAAAACGTGACCTATGAGGAAAGGTTGAAAGAACTTGGTTTGTTTAGTCTAGAAAAGAGAAGACTGAGGAGGTACATGATAACAGACTTCAAATATTTAAACGGTTGTTATAAAGAGGAAGGGGATCAATTATTCATGTCCACTAAGAATTGGACAAGAAATTAGGAATGGGTTTAATTTATAAGAGGATTCCAGTTAGAAAGCTTTCTGACCACGCTGGAGCACATTAGCAGTTTCCACAGCCTCCCTGGGTATTAAAGGTTTATAGGAATGGGTTGAACAAACTTTGTAAGGGATGGTTTAGACCTGCTTCTACCTCAAAGTGGCTCTTAGGACAAACAACTTCTTAAAGCCTCTCCTGGCCTAATTCCTATAGAGTGTAATATAGATTTGTAATGTACACGTCCCTATGTACTTACACAAGTGCTAAATTATTATCTGAAATCTTATTCTTTACTTACCTCTCCAGGTATGTGATGTCGTGATAGTGAGGAAATTTTTGTGCTCTGCTATGTACTAAAAGAGAATTTCTCAAGAGTTTTAAGAAACATTTCTCTATATGCAACCATGGAAAATAAGAACTCATGCCTGACCTCATCTGACAGCTGCTACGGCCCTTATAAAGGGATTAACAACCTGGACATAAAACAAAGGTTATTGCCAGTCATTAAGGGGTGATAGCTCTCAGCACAATTAGGACACATTACAAGTCTGCATGGGGTTATGCCTGAGTGGAGAGAAAAAGGGTGATTTACCAAACTGTGGGAAGAAGCCCTGATGCTGTGATGAAGGGGATGCTAAGGCAGGGCTTTGGAGCATCCTGAGAAAAACAGGAGATGTTGGGGAGCAGAACGGCCTCCCAGCCCAGACAAGATGTGCTTTCACTGCTGAGTAAGGAGGTGTTTTGGTAGCTTGATTCTGCAAATTGACATTTAGCAACTGTAACTCTTCAGAGATACATGCAAAGAGACAAAATGATGATTATGCTACATGATAGGTATAAAGACATAAACCTATTGTACTATTATTGGCTAGTTTTCATAGCAATTTAGAGTTGAGGGTATGTGGTTCAATTGTAAAAGAATGAGTTAGCTTATAATATGCTAAGTTCTTTTTATTAGTTGATTAATTTTTCACTTAAATCCTAAAAAAGTCATTATTTCTTCATGTTTAAGCTTTTACTTCTGCTGTCTTCTTTTGTAGTGCTTTTCTTAATTACCTCCAGTAATTTGCATCAGCAAGAAACTCAGAATACTTTGCATGTCTTTAGTGTCTTCCCTCCCCTTTATCTACTGATGTAGCTACTTTGAGAGAGCTCAGCACTGTAGCATCTGGTATCTCAAATCACTATTATAAACATTAATTAAAAAAACCTCTCCATACTTCTGACAGGTAGAAGAGAGATCAGATGCCCATTTTACAGGTAGAGAAAGTAATTGAACTGAGGGATTTGCAGACACTTCCCAGCTTCCAGAGCCTGGGTGCATGCCCTGGCAATGTCCCAAATCTGTGCTGGGGCAAAAACCAGGCTTGTTTTCCCCCGAGGACGTTGGTTTCCTTAGGAAGGAGACCTGAGTACTCAGACGGAGAAGGGTGGAGAGCACAGCGAGGTGTTGAGTCAGTGTGGGTTGCGCTGCAAAATGTTATCCCCACAGTCTAGACATAGCCAAGGCGGCGTAATGGGTTTGAAGGAGGCTCATGGTGGGAGCAGATCAAAAAAAAATAATCCTGGCTTCCTTGTCATACACTTCCTCCCATTATTTAAGCATCAAGATGACCACACCAGTTTTGCACATTTAACGAGTCCAATGCAAACAAGATTTCTCCCCCAATTTTCATCAGCTTCAAAATGTTTTATTTTCAGGGTTCTACAAAGGTAAATGTACGATTCAAGTAAAACCACAGCAGTGACTGTGTAGAATAATATGTCTCATAGAATAATAAGTCTCACTTCATTTTGGAGCAGGGCTTGGAAAATGTGGCTATAACCTAGCCTAGTAGAAAACTGCAGCATAGTCTCTCCCTCTCTTTCTAGCTTCCTTTAGCAAAGGCCACAGGTTTCAGGGACTTTTCAAGTCCATTTACTCGCAGTGCAGTGGGAAGAAGCCGGAAGATGGTTTTCAAAGCTGCACCTAAGTCACACTCATCTTGATGGTGCTAAATTTCTCTTTACAAACTTGAGCATGTTTTAGCAATTATTTTTTTTTCTTTTTCTTCCTGGGATAAAAAGTTAGTTCATCAGCCTGTGAACATTTGCAGTAGATATTCAGGTGGTGCTGTACCAGTTAATGCACTTCAGTCAAAATGCAAGGGTCTTCTTGGCTTTCAAGAAGTATAGTTTCCCTTTCAAATCCAGCATCTAGTTTTTAGGCATTTTTGCAATGCTCAGGAAAACATGCAAGGGGGGGCTTATGAAAGGCAAGTTGCTATCAACTTAGAAATATGCCCTGAGACTTCAGGAAAAGGTGCCATATTCTTTGCCCATGTCCACGGGGAAGGAAAAGAAGAGATTAAAAGAAAT